CTCCCTCCCCCTCCCTCCCTCTTTCTCTCTCTCTCCCCCTCTCTTTCTCTCTCTCTCCCCCTCCCTCCCTCTTTCTCTCTCTCCCTCTCTCTCCCTCTCTCTCCCTCCCTCCCTCCCCCTCCCTCCCTCCCCCTCCCTCCCTCTTTCTTTCTTTCTCTCTCTCCATACTACACAATTATCCATTCTCCTTCATGTTATCCTTGCAGGCTTTCATTGAATAATTCATAGTCTATTATTATTTAAGTATTCTCATACATGGATGGGATTGTGTTATTAAATTGTTCCAAGGCTGTCACCAGCCTGAAATTACAGAAAATGCTCTTAGTACAGAACAGTAATCAATTTTTAGTAGACAGAAATTGCACCTCCCCGTATCACCAATTAGATATGGCATTGAAACCACCAAGATTCTTTCCCCTACGCCTTCTGTAAAGTTCACTTTTATTTAATGTACTCGGAAACGTATCCTTTTAGTGGATTATACGTCTGGGCCTGCCTCACTTCTTATGCGCAAACGTGAATGTGAAGATGCCCCACCTGAAAGGAAATGCGTATGTCATTTGGCCCAGTTACGACGTTTAGACAGAGTGCATTAGCATGTCGTGCTCTTACACATGATCGCCACTAGCCGACTTTTCTCATTTACCTGCTGAAAGCAGGCCCTTATGAAGCTGTTCATGTTGGAGACGTTGAACCGAATTTGTAGTGTAGGAGTCATGGGAATGCATGTGTTTATTGATAGTTTTTGTTATCATGTTCCGATTGAACATAAATGTTGTTTTGACTGAACATAAATCATGTTCTGATTGAACATAAAGAATGTTTTGACTGAACATAAATCATGTTTTGAGAGCCAGAAGTCACAATGAGGCCATGAAAAGCATAGCTTGTGTGCTAACACCTTTCTGGCTCTTCACTGACAGTATCCACTTTTCCATCTTTTATATTTAAGCCCATTTATCTTATAGAAGAGCAAATACAATATAAATGTCTGCTGAGAGTCAGACATCTAAATGCATAAGCATTAATGCCCTTCTAAGCAGATAGGATGCATGCATCACCCTTTTCATTTTCAGGCTATATAATGCTAGAAGAGCAATAACATTATTTTTCTAATCGATTCCCTAGAGAAAGATCAAGATGATGCTCAAGTTCAATGTCGTCTGCCATCTGAAGACATTTCACAGACACGACTTGATATATCATCGTGCAGTCTGTCTGGCACATAAAAGACTCATTATGATCCAATTTCACCACAACTAAACCCTTAACCTTCCTCTTTACTGGCCTTAAATCTTCTTTTTATGACCCAAAATCTCCAATCAGATCGAAAGTAAAATAATACCAATTAATCATGCCATCTTTCCCAGTCACCTTTCGTCACCGAGATTGACAAATCTGGGCTGCTTCTCGGGAGGTGTGAAAAATAGCTCTCTAGTGATGTCATAGCCTTCACTGGGGCTGTACAAAATGTGTGTGTTTCTATAAAGTGAGTACTACATCATCATCAAGCCTCCAGTAGTCTGAGTTTTCAGACTGTAGTTATCTTGTTTCTAAATTTATCTGTTAAGTTCAAGGAGGGAAAAGAGGGATAGAGTTTAACTAGTTTGCATCCAAGCCTAATTATATTCTTGAAATGTATGTTTAGCAGTCACCCTCCAGGAAATTGATATACTTGGTGTTGATATTGAAGGGTTCTCCACAGATCATACACCTGCACATTGAGATAGGGTGACATGTTGAAGGCTCTTGAAAATCTTTGGAATCTATGGACCACCGCCAATGTATCAATTACAATTGATAAGGAAATTTTAGAATTTTAAAGCAGAATTTGACCCAAAACAAATTATGGTTTTTTTTTATGGCAATGTACATTTATTTACAAGTAGTGTTTATTTTTGATTATACAAAATGTAATCATCATACAATTAGGAATTTGATTTGGAGTTGACTAACCTATTACTATTCATTCACAACCCAAGCAAGGACTCGGTAAAATTCTGACAAACACCTGGATGTGTTCTTGTTCATAAGGGTTTGTGATGGTAGACTAGCAGCTCAATAAACTCATCATGGCTATCCTGCTGCGCTGTCCTGCCGATTGTGATGGATCACGGTGTGATTAGTTATGAATCAGTTTGGTATCAAACTGGCAGCAGACAGAAACAAAGCCTCATGGGAGCATAATTATGGAAAATTATGCACATACATTTAAAAAGTCTGAATTATCCATGCTGAGATGAGCTAAGATAAGGGCAGGATAAGAGAGGACAACACTCTAGTTCACCGCTCTCAGTTTAACCCTGAGCTTTTTAACATACAACTGTAACATCAACCCCCTGTCCACACACAACATTTTCCGTGACTAATCATGATTAGCTATACCGTTTCGCGATAGTGATACCGTTTCGCGATAGTTTTACGACCAAAATTGTAGGTGTGGACGCTCACTAACGATACGTCGTATAACGAAACTAGTCTAACGAAACGCAGGTTTGGGCATCGTTTCGAACTGAAACTCAATAAAGAATCACGCCTAATCACGGAAATGTTGTGTGTGGACAGGGGGACCCCCTGGGGGAGTGTAACTAGTGTAACTAACTGGGCGGGGCTTAACGTGACCTCGAGCGAAATGAGACCAGACCTCTTATCACTATCGCGAAACTCTATAAAGAATCACGGAAAATGTTGTGTGTGGACAGGGGGCATTTTATACGATGATTCTTTAGTGACGACGTTTCTTGTGTGTGGACATCCTGGAATTTATACGATGATTCTTTATACGACGTATCGTTATAGAGTTTCGCGATAAATTGTTTTGTGTGTGGACACGCTGATAGTCTACGTGTAGGCTGGAAGCAAACAAGGTAGGTGTATGTTACTGATTGGATTGTTGTTGTTGTTGTTGTTGTTGGTTTAATAGCGTTTTCCATCGTCGTTGGATGATTTTCGCCATGTTGCTGATTGGAAATGTTTTCTTCTGTGGATAAACCATGGATAAACCAACCTCATCATAAATGTACCGGTAGTTCATCAAGATGTTCCTTTATTGTGGTACTTTTAGAACATGGAGAACACTTCTTCTTGATGTTTCTCAGTGTCCCACTAGGAGCCTAGAGAGAAGGGTTGCGAAGTGCACACTTTTGTTTGATAAGTTCTTACTGCTTTTATCTTTGTTTTTGGAGAAATTGGTTGCTTGAAGTTTGAATGTGTATGGTGTCATGATCATTTTAAGTTTATTTATGGGTAGCTAGGGTACAAATGATAAGTGATCATCAGGAGGTACAGTCTAAGTCAACAACTGAATGCCTTTAATCCATTGCCTACAGGAATCTGGTGGATCCTGTGTTCAGTCTATGGGACTGAGAGAACTCAAGTCGTCAAAAGGTTAATTTGCTGTACAATCAACCTTTGTATTGCTTGCATGATATAGGTCCAGGTGAATTCACCCTACGTGAATACACACACGTGGGACTGACCTGTGCGTGCTGCTGCCGCCAGTGTACAAGAGTTTGGTCAAGTTTGCTATGGCATCCTCCCTATCTGGTTACGCCAAGGCCTGCCCTTGATACCAGCCTGATAAGGCCTCCTGCTTAGCCCCATATCATATCAAAACTCGCTGGCTATCCAAACAAGTCCTGGCCTATCACACCTTTGTGAAGGTAATTGAGCCGCGGTCCTGTCGGTTGTTTGGGGTGTGATATGAGTGTAGTAGTAGGTCCGTGATAAGAACCATTCACTAGTAAAGAGGGATACCTTCTAATGTAACCTTTAGCCAGCCTTCTTGACAGTACTATACACCTACACCACAGTAATTAAATGTTGCTGTGTTTTTTATGCTAGAGATAATGTTGACTTTATAAAGGAGATCAGTTTGTGTGCCTATGTAGCATCAATAGGCCTGTCCTCATCAGCTCGAGTTGGCCGAATAGCTCCCTATTTCTGATCCGGGAAATTAGCCAGATCACGATAAAGCTGGCTATTTGGAAGGTGAAGATGCAAATAGTGGACTAGCTACTTGCTTAGGAAATCTTCTCAAGGTATCTTGGGCTAGTTTTAACCCTAAGACTTGTAAGATTTCTTGATCTCAGCATGCATGAAGATATCCTACTTGTTGCGGCATGAAACCAAAATAGTACCATAAGTCTGAAGTTGAAGACTATCAGGCCAAATAGGAATTATTCATAATTAGTTGCACAAAAAAAGGTATAAATACTGTAATGTTCATTGGTCAGCAGATACACTATCTCCCTTAGCAACAATTTGTTTATGTTAAGTCAATCTTGGGTTGGTTATTCACACCCAGCCAGCCTACAGATATATAATACCAATGACCCTATTGGTTAAGACTTGGGGCATTTACATTATGCAAATTAAATTCCAAGTATACTATTTCTGAGAAGTGAAATGATGTTCCAATCCTGCTTGCACCCATGAATTAGTTGCACAAAATAGGTATAATTACTGTTTATTGGTCAGCAGATACACTATCTCCCTTAGCAACAATTTGTTTATGATAAGTCAATCTCTGGTTTGTCATTCACACCCAACCAGCCCACAGATACATATGACCCCATTAGATAAGACTTCGGGCATGTACATGTATGCACATTAAATTCCAAGTATACTAATTCTGAGAAGTGTAATGATGTTCCAAACACCAATCCTTCTCGCATCAGCAAGGAAGAAGAATGTTTCACTTTCAAGAAGTTGTTCATTATGGAATGTTGATCATATATTCTATTGCTTTACAGCGAACCACTCACTCAAGTCACTTACTCATTTAAGTTCACTCAACGTTTGTTTCACTCATCGCTACATAATATTCATTGTTCTACGTTTTATACTCTACGTTATAGCTCTTTAATCTTCATATGCAGTCTTTGATAGATAGTGAATGGATTTTCTACAATCGTTACTTATTTAGAAGTTTTTTAAAGAGTTTTAAACAAGTAAGATTATTCATTTTCTTTTCTTGCATTGGCTTAACATGTATTATTGATGTTGTTTTTCACTGAAAGTCTGACAGCCCTACTTTATATAGGTTTCTTTTCTTGAGCACTTCGCGTAATGTTTATTGACAATTCTTGCTTTGCATTATACTTTCTTTCCTTTTCTTATGACCAATTTCCACCATTTAAATAAAATCTACTTTGATCTCATGCCTCCACCATTGAAATCCATAAATGTTCCTGGCTTGAAATTAAGTTGCATTATTGAGCATTGCGTTTAGACGAATGCATGAAAGGAAAGGTTAGGTGGGGCTTTATAGTCGTGATGATGCTGGAGTCTTGAGATCTCGGGAGTAAAAACGAACGATCAATATCTTGCCGTTAGCGAAGAATGGGAACAAAAGCAATGGACGGATTAGTTCCAATTAAGCCTTGAGCATTTATGGAGATAGAATCACATTTAAATCATGTCTTTGTGGGATGCGTGCTCGATAAAAGTGAAGTCGGGTGATGACAGATAATAATGAAGTCATTACATTAACTCTCCATCGAAATACAATGAAGGCTTTCTGAATAGATGGGGAATAGATGGGACGCAGGGCAGAGGGGCGCTTGCTCCGTAAAAGCATCCCTTTCCGATCATCGAAGGACATCAAATCGAAAACATTGACAGAGCTCATGTCCTTGGAGTACGAGGAGGAGCTTGATTTTGTTCGTTCGTTCGTTTGGGATCTTTATAGGAAAAGCATCCTACTCGTATTTCAACAAACCTTTTCTTTCTTCTTTCTTCAGAGCATTCTTCAATCAGTGATACGACACTCGGAGGTTGAAGGGAAAGGAGCTTTTCACGAACCCTTAGAGGTAAGATTTACATTTGTTGCGGTTAAGTTTCAAAAGGCCTGTCTTCATCAGCTCGAGATTGCCAAATATCCCGCTATTTGAACTATCTCGATCGCAAATTATCCAGTTAATTTGCATCTGCATCAGCCCGAAGTTGCAATTTGTGTGATATTTGGCAGATGTAATCATTTCAAGATATCTTGGGCTAGTTTGCAAAATATCCCGCTATTTGTCCGGTGCGTCCTCACCAGTCCGAAGACTCGGAATATGCGCAAACGTTGAGCAAAATATCTTGATCTAATTCCTTGAGCTCGAGCTTGAAGTTTTGAGGTCAAGTCTTGAGCTGATGAGGACGCGATTTGTAACTTCAAGATTATTTCTCAAATAAAAAACAGCAGGCTATTTGGCAATCTCAAGCTGATGAAAACAGGCCTAAAGAAGAGATCTAGCCTGAAAGTAGTTGATGGGGAGGGGGGGGGGGGGGGGAGGGGGGTAAACAGTTCGATATGGGATAAAAGCTTGGTTCACATGACATCTCATTAACTTGAAGTTTGGCTCATGGATTTGAACTTCAGGGTTATCTTAAAGTGAAGGACCATGTAGACACACTCGTGGTTTCATAACCTGAAAGTGAGTCAAAACTTATGGTGAGAGTGATACTTATGAGCAGGGGGCTCACTTATTTCAAGGTTTTGCAAGCAAGTAGTTACAATCTTGAGCTATTTCTTATCACTAATGATGACAGAAATCCACTTCATTATTATATTTCAAGACCTATTAGTATCAATGGTTCAACCATTAGCCACATTCACATGCATGCAATCCAAATAATTATCTGTTCTATCTTTATTCATCTTGAAGACCTTCTTATTCACTTGTGGGGAACGATGCTTAAATAAGCCAGTTCTACTGGTCTTATTAAGACCACTTGCCCATTGTGTTTGGGAATTGGCTTTATGCCATCATACCTGTCTTCTTAATCTCATTCATTACTCTCTGCTGGGGTCTTGCTGACCGGTCCATAGCTCTTCTTTTGGTCAAAAGGGGAAGAATTGATTAAAATTTTTATGGTAGCAGGTATTGATAGGGAGGGCTATTTAAGAATACAAAGTGATTTCTAGCTTTGTCCGTCCCCCTCTCTCCTTCTCTCTTCATCTCTCTGACCTACATTTAAAAGAAATGTATTGTTAGGGGCGTTGGGTGGGGGGGGGGGGGGTGTCTCTCAAGGGAAATGCCATTCTCTTCGCTCAAAGAAGCACCTAAAAAGCCTTGATTGTATTCAATAGCTTTATCACTTTCTCTATTAAAGTTGCCAGGTAATCCCAATCTAATCGACTGGATCCCACCTCATCAGGAATTTGATGGATATATTAGAAAGCGGTATAGATCTAATGAATTGGTTAGCAACATCATACCTGTAATGTGCAGACGCTGCCCTGCTTTCTGTGCAGGTATGGAGATGCTATTGAGTACTACTATTAAAGTTACTGTGAGACCATTTGAACCAAAATGTGTCCAAAATGGTATGAGTAGCGCAATTAATGTCTTATAAAAGAGATGATATTTCACAAAAACATGTGAAATTTGAAGAGGATTGAGATTTAGCATCTCTTACCTGATTGAGCTGTTTTGCTATGCATGCTATCAGTTATGTTTCAAAATGCATTACCATATCTCTGCTTGGTTAATATGCTGATAGTGCTACAAGTACAACATGCTACAATATACTTTACAGTTTAAAGATGTTTTGAAATTTCATTTCGACTGGTGTTGGCATACAAACCAGAGTAAGAGAACATTTTCTTTCCTAGCAACTGTCTTTAACTTTGACAGTGCTGAAGATATAAATTTCATGTTTGTCAGGCATTTTATAAGCATCACAGTACATCCATCTGAAAATACCATTATCCATGTAGACAATTTTAATCCCAATACCGATAATTGATCAAATGCAGGAAATGTGAGTGAATCTTCAATCCTACCGCTAATATGATAATGGATAGCAGTTTTATTGACCGTGGCAGATAAATAGTTGTTATCATGTAGATTGATCTGGGCAAGGAGGTCAATTCATTCAGTGAATTAGGACTCGTACTGACTGCTACACAAACCCAGAATTGTTATCAAGTGATATTGATTAGTATATTGGGGATAATGAGTTAATAGCACAAGTGGAGCTCGATGAATGTAGCTACTGGCCACACACACACACAGAGTAGGGATATGTAATATTACTAAAGTCTCAGCACATTTCATGGATCATGATGTGTTAAGATAGATGCATGGGATAAACTTCATCATTGTTTACGCTATACATAGCTGAAGACAGTTGTGAGGAAAGAAATGCTTTCACTCTGGTTTAATGAAGGAGTTATTAGACTAATAACTCCTTAGCTTGATGAATGATAAAATTCAAACTAATGCATTTTTAGGATTTCCTAAAATATAGTTTTTCTTTTTTACAAATCTATTTTCGTCTGCCCACCTGGGACCTTAATTGTCAAGAAATACAAGCCTTTTTCTTCATGCATATTGCTGCACCGTGAAGGAAACCTTGAGTGATGCTTTACAGTTAGACCTCATGGCATCCTACAAATCTATCTGTGTTGCAGAAAACAGCCACTCTGTAGCCGTGTTGACATTATTTCAAGTCGAGCTATCATAGCCGCAGAGGAATCGATAAGGAAAAACATTAGGTTGGTTGATGTGCCTGCCTCCAAACCTCAACATCTAACGATTATTGATCTGTGCAACTAAACGAGCTCACACGTAGGTCTATTTTTTCTTCTTCACACTGCCCACCTGGCATCGTACCTGCCTTTCTTTGTGACTCAGACTCTACCTTTCTTTCTCTCTCTCTTGCTCTCTCTTTCTCTCTCTCTCTCTCTCTCTCTCTTCCTCTATTTCTCACTCACTCTCTCTCTATTTCTCTCACTCTACGTCTTTATAACCTCATTTTTCCTCTGCATGTCTTTCTCTCTGTCTCATTTGTCCCCCTCTCTCTATCCCTCCGTCTCTCTGCTAGTCACTCTCTCCCTATCTCTTCCTCTGTACATATCTCTCTCTCTCTCTCTCTCTCTATCTCTCTCTCTCCTTCTCTCTCTCTCCCTTTCTCTATTTCTCACTCACTCTGTCTCTATTTCTCTTGCTCTACGTCTTTATAACTTCATTTTCCCCCTTCGTCTCTCTGCTTGTCACTCTCTCTCTCTCTCTCTCTCTCTCTCTCATTCACACACACACTCTCTCACACTTTCTCTTACTCAATGTGCCTCTATTTCTCTTGCTCTATCTTTTGTAACCTCATTTCCCCCCTCTGCATGTCTTTCTCTCTCTCATTTGTCCCCCTTTCTCTCACTTTATCTCTGTGTCTCTATCTCTTCCTCTGTATATCTCTCTGTCTCTTGTCTCTCTGTATGCTTCTTCTGTAGTATCTCTTTCTCTTTATATATCTTCTTTGGTGTGTATATCAGTCACTCATGCTCTGTTTTGGTAGAAATGGAAATGTTGTGAGCTCCAATGAGCTACAACTCCAAGCCTGCTTACTTGATAAAGGATGTGGCACGGGCCATTCAGAGATATGTCAAATGAGAATCCCAAGCAGGTGCTTTTACCTTTTGATGAATGGGTATTCTACATGCATGGAAATAGAGAATGAGGGAAAGAGATAGAGAGAGGGAGGAGGGGGAAGGGGGAGCAAGAGCGACAGAGATGGAAAGCTTTCGTCTTTATATTACCATTTGAGAACTAAAATAGTATTCCAGATGTTCTGCATACATTTTTTATTGAAAGGACAAATTTTCTTTTAAATGGGGGAACCTTTAATAGCTAAACATGACATTGTTATGTCGAGTAGAAAGATTTACTCGTACAAACTGACATTTTGGCCTGCAAGTCCAATGCTGCATCTGCATGTGAAACCGATCAAATGTTCATGTATGTTAATGTATCTCGCAGGCCTCTGCGGTAAAACCGGTAGTATTTGAAAGCTCAGTTCTCTCTTAACCTTCCCCAAACCCACCAACGCTTGCATGAGTGAAGTCGAATATTCCCTTATTGAATAACCAAGCTAATTCGGTCGACCTGACAATTGAGGCTCTGTGCAAATGTTTGTGATGTGACGAGGCCACCACCATCCATCTCTCCCTTCTCTCTTCGTTCATGGCAACCCTGCGCCTAATATGGGCAATTATGCGGCTTGTCGAAAAGGTGAGCTATTGATCTGGATCCAAGGTCGCCAAGATCTGTTATAGATGAATGGACCTATCCAACCCTTGTTCTCGTCACTCTCGCTTATAATCCCTTATTGGTCGTATAATTCCTCCTCCATTCACAATACAACTTGTCCAATTACATGCTTTTATGGATGAAGCAACCTTTTTTTTTAGTGCTTTCTTTCAGCAAGGTGACACGAGAGGTGTTCATATCTTGCCAAATTTTCAAGAAAACTGAAGCTGTCTTGAGATGGCAAAGATGGGGATTCATAATATTAAAACAGTTTTTTTGAAAATTCTTTCCTGGAAATTCTTCCCAATTCCTAAATTTAGTAATTAAGAAAAGTCTGTAGGATTTATTGTGGGATAGATTATGTAGGCCCCTATATCTTAAATAGTAGTCGATTTCACTTCTAACATACACAGTCTGTCATTCAAAACGTAATGCATACCTTAATTCATTCATGATAAGGGCATACATTCACATGGTATCGTAGTTCAATCATCATGTTTTGCAATTGGATTGCATTTATTCCAACCTGAGATAAAAATAATATCTCTCACTTTCCAGAACCTTTCAAGAGTGATATAATACACATGTTCTTGTGGAAACACAAGTTATGAAGGATGAAAATCTGGGATAGTTTCACACCTTCACAGAAATGAAGTTTTTGGTCACCAGATAAAAGTTGGATATTTACCAGTTCTGACAGCACCAAGGAGACATGTAACCACTATATGGCTGTGTTTAAGGGGGTATTATGCTGCAAATACAATTCAATCAATAACCATTAAGTAATACCAAGAAAT